TACAAACAGTGTACATCCGACCTACAAACAGTACATCCAACTTACAAAAAGTGTACAGATCCGACCTACAAAAAGAGTATATCCGACCTACAAATAGATATGTACATCTGACCTCGCTCCATGCACATGACTAGAACTCAATCATGCCTGTAGGTCGGATTAAAAAAATAAAATGTGTAACCGACCTACAGCTGTCGTAGGTCGGATATAGCAATAGGTCAGAAAGTTAGTAGGTCGGAAGTTCAGTATAGAGGATGTTGCGTATAGACGATGCAACATTACCCTCAATTTGATTTGTTAGTCCGGGTCATAGAACAAGCTGAACTTGCTGTAACCAGAGAATAGGAATAAAGGGAAAGGAAATGACGCTGGTCTGGCATGAGAAAGCCAGTGCGCACTGCTTTGCAGACCAGTACGGTAATCTTACACACACTCTTTTGGTACAGACACACGTAACATGATTACAGTCAAAGAAATTGCAGAACAATGTTGTCAATTATAATTAAGCTTGAATAACTACTATATTTATTGTAAACTTTGATTAAGTTATATTCTTTGCATGAAAATTTGGCTTTATACTGTTGACTTAAATATGTAAATAATTTATATTACATGCATTTTAAACTTATTTTTAAGTAAACAATTAACAATAAACAACTGCTATCTCCAAGGCCAGTTTTAATTCGTTTAAATCTCTTGGTTTTGGTGTGTATACTTGGGATTTCAAGAACCCCCAGAGAAAAAAGTCCAATGGATTTAGGTCAGGTTACCTGGCCGGCCAGTCATGCCCTCTAATGGCTCTTTTGCTAACAACTCTACCCTCAAACTTAAAGTCCAGATATCTCATGTTGTGATCAGTTACATGGCATGGTGCGCCATCCTGCTGTCACCATAGGGTATTCAAATTGCCACCATTTCTTATTTCTAATTCATTTTTAAGATTGTTTAGAAGATTTGAATGTTTTTCAGACACTAATAAAGTTTCATAATATTTTTAAAATTCAAAAAAATCAATTCATGAACTCACCCAACAAGACAAATAACGTTCTGAGAACGTTAGATAACGTTCCTTTTAGGACTCATTAATGTTAATTAACGTCACTATTTAACGTTCAAGGAACATAAAAAGGTACCCACTTTTACGTTATGTAACGTAAAAAAGGGTACGTCATGTAACGTTAAGTTTAACGTTATCTGACGTTCATGAACCAAACTTTTACGTTCAGAAACCCCAAATATGGGCACAGTTTCCATGGAAGTTACGTTAAGTAACGTTAATTAACGTAACACAAAGTATGGTCCCGTGCATGAACCAAACTATACGTTAATGAACCCTAAATATGGAAGCAGCTTTCACNAAATGGTACGCACAAAACATTTTTTGAAATGTTAAGGGCAATTTATATGAATAGCTAGTTTGGCATTGATATGGATTAAGTTGCAAAATTTGCAAAAATTTTGTTACATATATCGATGCATGGATATCAAATGTAAAACTTTAAACCTTACAACGAAGTAAGATATTTTGTAAATTAACATTTATTTACGAACCCCAATTACCTTAAATACCGTTATCTGACGTTCAAAGAAAACCTTAAGCTGACATTATATCTTCCATTATGTAACGTAAATTTACGCTAATATATTATGTAAATTTAAAGTTCAATATAAAACTAAAACCTAAAACTAACGTTACCAACCTTCGTAAAGGTACGTAAGCTTAGGTTATATAGATAACAGTTACGTTATTTAACGTTCTGTAACGTTACAATTGTTGGTACGTTCCGTAATGTTGAATTACGAAATGGTTTAAGGTTAGTCACGTAAAATGGTTTATAGGGCAACTGAGCCAAAATGTCAAACTTCAAACAGTCAATACTTTCTTAATTTTGATGTTCAAAAGATTTAAAAAATGTACAATTTTTTAAAAATTGAACCATGGCAAGTGCTACAATGTCTTAAAGATTGTTTTTATTGGGACACCCTGTATAATGTGTGAAAAGTTAAAAATATAGTGTTTTAGTCTTTAGTCATTAATTTTGACTCTTTTTGAGTCTTTTAAGTCAAAAAAATTTTCCCTTGGGCCAAATTTTTTGTTCCTAATTATCAATTTTTTTGTTCCTAAAAAATCTTGCCCCCCCCCCCTCACTTAAATCCTGTAGCCGCCCATGGTAACCTTACACACACTCTTATGGTACAGACACACACACATAACATTTCTGTCCCCTGGCTGTAACTACGACAACGATTTATAGTCAAAGCTCTGAGCTCTGATAATTGAATCACACCTTGTTCATAAGTCTCAGGTCATAGCATTTGATAGCTCTGACTGCAAGTCGCAATTTGACAGCATTTAGACAGCTTAAATTAAAATCTTACTGGGCATTTGCACAAACAGCAATCTCTTTTAAAAAGTTGTCTTTTAAAATAAGGACTAAATCTTTTTACCAAAATTTATGTAGGACGGAATTTCCTTTGGTTCTCAATTAATACTATTTTTCTTTTTATTTCATCAGAGATAATTATTGCTGTATAAATTAGGACAAAATTGTCTAATGAAAATTTAAACAATAAATGTAATTTTTTTTATTTCTGCAGATGCTCTACTAACCCTAAAACCTATAAATATGTATGACATTCTAATATATATATATATATGTATTTTTAGGTTTTGAATACGTAAAAATATGTATTTTCCATGCATATGATATAATGTGTTCTCATCAAAACACTAGGCAGGTATAGTATTAGTGTGCTCTGCAAAACAATGTGCAAGTACATATTTGTTAACCCTATCCCTGCTGGGGTACTTGAAAACCAGGATACGCTGGGGGGGGGGGGGGCAATTTG